TAATGGCAGGCCACAGGAGGACAGGAACAAATGGTGTCAAAACACACCGTCTCTTTCCTCTGGTATCACAACACCATCCATCGGCTCCCCAAGTGACAGATGTTCAAAATTCAGACAAGCATGGTGGGTTTTACTGTTAGAGGAAACATTTCGAGTTTGTCCATTTAATATTGGAAACTCAGTACTTCCTCATTACAAATCCAGCTTGTTTGGAATAGAGATATCCCATGGGGAGAATGAAGTGAACCAAGCAAAGCCTGAAGCAGAATGTAAACCAGGAAGCTTAAACAACTGCTGGATGTTTTTACCTCTTCCACACATTTTCAGGAAACACTCTTCAAGTACCTAGATAGATGAGTATCATCCCGCATGGGAATGGTTCAAAGCTGCATCAGGGCAGGTTTAGACTGGACATTAGGAAGCATTTCTTTACTGAGAGGATGGTCGATCACTGGAATAGGCTTCCTAGAGAAGTGGTTGATGCCCCAAGCCTGCCAGTGTTTAAGAGGCATTTGGACAATGCCCTTAAAAATATGCTTTGACTTTTGGTCTGCCCTTAAGTGGTCAGGCAGATGGACTGGATTGCAGGTCCCTTCCAACTGAAACAGTCTCTTCTCTTCTTCTCTCCCCAAGCATATGATATTTGTTTTTAACAAACATTCTTTCCTGCTTCTAGCTGCCTCCTTTTCATTTATTGCTAAGTGTAAAATGTCAGTGAATACCTGAATTGACATCTTCCCCCTCCACAGAAGCTGGGCTTTTTATTTTTGTGTACAATGAGACCACCTCTTTACCCTGCTGCCAGATGGACTCCAAAGTGCACTGGTCCAATCAGCTACATCCAAAGATGGTATCATCCCAAAAGAGCACCAGGAAACAGATAACATGAATATCTCCAAATTTGGTTTGGTCCCTTTACAAGCTACCAGTATCATTGACCTGCAGCCTCATCCAACCCGCGTATTCTCAGAACTGCCACACCAACTCCTTAAGCGATAGTCTCCTAGTCTGACATCCCTCTTAGTGACTGCATTGTGCGGGTGACCTGTGGGGCTGTTAGGATGTTACCTGCAGAGACAAGCCTGGTCCCGGCCAAGCAGAGAGCTGTCACAACAGGGGACAGGTTTGGGCAAGGAAACCTGCACGCCCCTGGCGAGCGCTGCAGCAGCTCTGTGCCGGCCCTGGGAGCGGGTGCACTGCGCCCACTCTCGAGTCAGAAGCCCACCTCTTCCTCCTGAACTTAGATGCCCACAACACACAGCCCGGAGATCCACAGCACTCCAGCATCCGACCAGCAGACAGGGAAATCTCTGGGAGCCTGAAAACTACATAACTTTTTCATTGACAGCAAAATTCATGGCCGTGTTGTCAAGAGTGCCGTTCCCACAGCTGGGGTCAGGTTTTCACAAGGAGCTAAGAATCTATTTGCGTATCTGGAAAAGGGGAAGGTTCTCAGAAGCATCACAGACAGAACAGCTCTTGTTACAACCCGAATGAACCCAATCTGTTCCTGGTCATTTTAAAAGTCTGCCATTTACTGTCATCATTAAATCAAAGATCTGTTCCCGAGAGCAAGTTATAACTGCTCCTCTACCCAGCAGGAATGAACTGGGAGAACTTGCAACTTTTTACAGGTACTGTACATTAAAGCACTTCATAACTCTGACTTGGAATAAGAGGGAGCTGCGGTCTATAGATAATGTTCAGGTTAAGTACTTCAGTAATCTGCTACCATCTGACATTCACAGATAGAAAAGTCAGTTACTTCATTTAATGATTTAAGGATTAGAATGAGTTTGATTTTGTATCAGACTTGGCTTCAGAAGGATGAGATGGATTCATTAGAAATTAAGTTGAATTAATAAGCTACTTCTAGTTAAAATTAGCTAATGAAGTTCAGGGGGGGAAAAAAAACAAACAAAAAAACCCCAACCAAACAAACAACCAAACAAAAAAACCCAAACAAACAAACAAAAAAATATGCAACAAAACAAAACCAGAAAGCAGTTTTAAACCAGACTATGTAATCATGATTTCCAGCTCTGCATTTACAGGACGTGAAAAAAGAATGAATTTGACAGCTGCCCATCTTCACCAATAGCTCTGAAACCAGTATTTCTTTGAATTGATATTTAAATGACAAACTGAGTCTGAACTTCTCAATTTGCTTTTGAGCTGCATCACTGGGATTTGTAGCCTGCAAGAGATACCAGGTGCAGAACTTATGTGCAATCCATCTCTCTTTCATCTGAACCAAAACAACAAGCCCAGAAAGATACTGTATCTCCTTGAACTGAGATTTCTGCCCGGTATCTGAAACTGCACAGATATCGAAGTACTTTGGAAAGAGAGGGCAAGAGGCAGTGGTAGGCCATCTGCAGACGAGGGGAGGGGAGCTCTGCAATATCCACAAGCAGCTCCAGAAGAGGGGGGCTACAACACACCTCGTGGTACCACCTTTGCCAGCTGTGCTCAGGGCATGGCAGGTCACTGGAAGCACAGCATCTCACCCACTGACCAAATTAAAAGGCTTAAGGGTCTGGGGAAGAGAAAGAAGAGATTTTATATCCAAATAAATGCCTGCTTCATAAATAAATAAATATGCTCATTTCGTAACAGCTCTTGGGAGCAATACAACTACCTTCCTCTTATCTCTTATACTGCACAATCCACACTACCAAAAAAACAACACAACTGTTGCTATCTTGGGCTATTTTTAAGCAGGGTAGTTGACAATAACTGTAGATAGTTGAGAATGATTGTAGTACCTCTGAGGTAATGGAGTCTTTCGCTTTGAGGGCCATGTGTCTTTCCTATGCAGAGGTACAAAAATAACATGATTAAATGATGCAGTTAGTCACACAGACCATCTCCTGTGCCAGGGTGATTCTAGTGCATATCGGTCATGAACTGTATCGCTCACCTAAAAGGTACCAGGACTGTACTGTGCATAAGTATCCTTTGTGCAAATGCAGATACGGCACTAAGCCATACTGGTATTTCCAGAAGTGGTTTGTTTGGTGCTTGCCCATGAAACACTCAGGATAACACAAGGAGGAAGAGAGGAAGATACGATGCTGATAAAGAAACATTCAGTTAACCTTTCCAGCAGTTTGGTAATGTCCATGCATCTGATCACCATAAAGCAGACTTTGAGCTTTAACATACACAGACGTGCACAATGTCTCCCAGAAAAGTACTATTTGCCATAGCACCGAAACATTTGTCAATGAAGTTCTAATGAAATCTCATTCACTACTCCTTTTTTTCCAGAAGAAAACCCAACTAACTAATCTTAACTTATCCAGAAAGTGCAACGAGCTCCAGACCATGCAGACTCAGTTTACTGAATTCAGGTTGTGGAGTAACTGACTTGCCTTCATTTTAGTAAGTAGTGTTGAGACTGTCAACTTAGCAATTGGTGTTGAAGACAGTTTCTGGGGGATAAAATACCTGGATTGGCCAGAATCAGTGAGAACAAACCAGGCTATTTAAATTTTAATATTTGAGTATTTCTTTAAACAAGCTCCAAACCATTAATTATCTAAACTCGCATAAACATAACATTATTAGTGAATTACCTGAACTCAGTTCATGCAAATTTAAGCCAACACATGCTATAGCTACTCTGCTTGCACCATCTGCCCTGTTCACGTGCAGATGCACACATCTAGCAGGAATACCCTGAAAACCTGATTATGGAACTGCCACTTCACCTCTCTTTTCAAACGCACCTCAAGCTGAGGCAGAGAACATGACCACAGCAGTGCAGAGAGCAGTACAAGAACAGTGCGTTTCAGTAATACCCATTTCTAGTGCACAGGAGGCTGCAGCAGCTCAGCATGCTGAAAGCCAGGCAGGTAAACAGAGTTCATGGCAATTCAACTGTTGCCCATCTTTGCATTCTCTACCAAATACCTCAAAAGAGGCAGCACGTCATGCTATTTTAAGATAATGGTATCATTAAGGGTAAAATGCATGCAGTTATTTTAAACCACAGCAATGCAGCTAACCTGCATCAAGGATCACCCCAAACTCTGGGTCTGACTCTGAAGCAAGGAATCTGCAAACACTTCACAACTGCGTTAAAACAAAACAAAACAAAAAAAAATGGTGAAAATGCAAGACAGCGAATTACTGGCCAGCTACCCAAGGTATATTACATGTGCAAAAGTTTCCCTGCCCAAGCCCAGCTGCTGCTCCAGCACCCTGCGAAAGCTGGAAGCTCCTGTGTGACCAGAAGGCTGAAATCCTCTCAAGGAAACGAAGCACACCTGAAGGAGCCGTTACACAGCATCGATCAACCCTGGTGATCTGAAGCGGCCAGGAGGCAGGCAGGGCGCTGCCGAAACCCTGGCAGTACCACAGCAGGCTGCGACACGACATGGACTAGGGAAATAATAAATCCTAGGAAATAAATCCGAAGCTTGGAGCTCCCCCCCGGCACAGGCACACGCTGGCGGCGGAGTGGGGGCCGGCACGGCGGCCGGGGCCACCGCCCGCCCCCGCTGCTCGCTCGCTGGCGGCCACCTCTCCCCCTGACTCCGTCGCCCGGGCCCTCGGGGCACCGTGCGCTGCGGGGGGGCTGCCAACGTGGGGACCGGGCACGCCGGGAGCACGCCCCCAACCGCCCGGCTGCTCTCTTTGACAAGTTAATACAGTTCGCGGAGGGGAACGGATCGCGGTACTTGCTGCAGGCTACTCACCCGGGCACTGAAATGGCAGTATCTCTTTAAAAGCAGAATGCCTCCGCTTTGGGAAACTTATTTCTGTTTTGCTATTGTCATTTGCTAACTTGCCCCAGATCCTGTAAAATCCCAGAAAAGGCAAGCAAACGAGAAGAGATTATTTAAAAGATGACAGTCAGGACAGGAATTTGTGGAATGAAATCTTTAAGGGCAGGAGCAGATAGAGACAGCCAGCTAATGTTTTCATGCCCCGTCTCTGACCAGCAATTCATTTCACGAGCAGACCAAGGGTTACAAGACAACTTAAAATACCTGACCGTGATGGGTGCTTCTCTGCATCAGCTGGGTGTCCTTGGCATAGCTAGCAAGCTCCCCTGTCTCCTCCGCCGCCTTTTCCAGCAGACCCCTCACGATCACGATGTCGCAGTTCCCCGGGCCTTACAATCAAGTGGTTTGTTGTAAGAGAACTAAAAATAGTGCTGAATCTTTCACTGAAGCACTTGCCTGTCAGCCCATGTGTTAGCGAGCCCTACAGACCTTTAATATTAAATATAGCCCAAATCCACATGGAAATACGGCCATTGACTTTTTACAAAATATGCTGGGGCGCTTTTTTTTGGAGGGGGGGGGGAGGGGAGGGCTTGGTTAATTTTTTTTTTTTTTTTTAAGACAGCACAAAATAAATCCTTTTTTCTAACCACTAAAAGATGAAATTAGCAGAGTTGTTTTAAGACTATCCTCAGGGAAAGAGTGAGTCACTTAAGCTGCTTTTATGATAAAAGATCTCTGGAAGAATATCTCCAAGCTGTTCAGAGATCCGTGTGCCCCCCTGAAAAACAAAGTTCCACATGGCTGGGTTTTTTGGTTTTGTGTTGTTTGTTTTTAATAGTTTGAACACCTGCTTCCACTGCAGAGTTAGTGCTAGCATGGGAAACAGCAGGATTTCATACTGGCTAACACCTCCAGAGGGTGATTAACAGAAGCATCTGTCCTGCAGGGCTGTTAATAAGGTCCACAGAAAAGAGCACAAAGTGGCCCATAAGGACACTGCATATGAAAGTTTATGGCATAGGTTGAGAAGTCCAGGAAAAAAAAAAATCTCAGAGGAATTACTTTTGCAAAGCTTCCCATTACTGTGGTCTGAAAACAATCACTGAAGACAAAGGCTGCAAAAGATGTCATTCAAGACACAGATGCCAGTGCTGCTGCCAATGTCCAAGCTGGGATCCCAGAAGCAGATTCAGACGCAAAACTTCCAGTCAGCACTTACCAGACACACATGTTCACACTGGGGTACACTAGTAGATAAGCCAAGAAATGAGAAGGTGCAGGTGATGGCTGGCAACAACCACTTGTGGCATTTTAAAAGGCTGGTAAAGCCACAATCATTCTCCTGATAGTTGCTTCAGCTGTGAAGTGGGCAGCAGAGCACGCCTGACAGCAAGCCAGGATGTCCAAACCAGAGAGAGTTAAGTCTCACTGATGCTGGTGGACTCTACTCTGTAAAAGCATCTAGAAATCCAGACTTGGTCACATAATACACACTAGCGAGAAGGTGGCATCTGTGACTTAAGTCTTTGCTGCACCGAATCACTATATGATGTCTCTACTTAGTAATTTTAAGTCAGGATAAATTTGTAAGAAAGTTATTTCTTCACCTCAACAAATAAACGGCCACTGCCAGAGAAACTTTTCAGAAGTAGCTCTCTGGGCTAGAGCAGTACACACAACACACAGAGCAAAAGAGAAATCTATAGATACATATATTTCAAAGGAAGATTCTAGGATGGAAGTAAGCACTGAAATGTTGGAGAGTTACTGGGAATATCAGAGGAGAGAACAAAGTTCTTACTAGTTTAGCCTCACTTCACCATCTGTTCCTTGCCATGAGTCAATCCCAATGAGAAACTACTTCAAAACACATTTTAGGACCAGCTGCACCCAATGAAGTCACCAGAGGAAGGGAATATTCCCCTCCCAATACATCATACTCATGCTACACAGCAGCTTCTTGCCCTACCAAAATCAAGGGGAATGCTACCATTAATATGAACACAACCCTGGGTCACAGCCTCTTGCACTCATGGTGAACAAGTATCCCACTCAATATTGTTTTTCTCAATAATTCACAACTTTCTACCCAGTCAGAGGGGCAATGAGAGAGCTACAAACATCACCCTGCCCGTCAGGTCCGAGCAGCCAGCTTTCTGCAGCTGCTTCTCCTACAAGTGCATTCATCTATGGAGTGATGAGAGAATACCAGGTTGGAAGGGACCTCAAGGGTCACCTGGTCCAACCTTTCTTGGCAAAAGCACAGTCTAGACAAGATGGCCCAGCACTCTGTTCAGCTGAATCTTAAAAGTGCCTAATGTTGGGGAATCCACCAGTTCCCTGGGAAGATTATTCCAATGTGATTATTCCAATGGAAGATTGTTCTCACTGCGAAAAATTTTCCTCTTGTGTCCAGTCAGAATCTCCCCAGAAGTAACTTGTACCCAACACCCCTTGTCTTTTCCAAGTGACTCCTTGTAAAAAAGCAGTCTCCATCTTCTGTGTCACCACCCTTTAAATACTGGAACATGGTGACAAGGTCTCCCCTAGGTCATCTTTTCTCCAGGCTGAACAAACCCCGTTCCCTCAGCCTTTCCTCATACGGGACGCTTCCCAGTCCTTTGGTCATCTTCGTGGCCCTTCTCGGGACCCTCTCCAGCCTGTCCACATCTTTTTGTATAGAGGGGACCAAAACTGAGCACAGGATTCCAGGTGTGGCCTGACAAGCGCCGAGTAGAGCGGGATAATGTCTCTTTATCTCTGCTGGGGATGCCCTTGATGCAACCCAGCATCCTGTTGGCTTTCTTTGCCGCTGCAGCCCGCTGCTCCCTCCTACCGAGCTTGTGTCCCCCGGGTCCCTTTCCACAGAGCTGCTCCCCAGATGGGTAGATCCCAGCCTGGGCTGCCCTCCTGGGTGATGTTTTCCCAGGTGCAAGACCTTACGTTTGCCTTTGTTGAACTTCATAAGATTCTTGTTAGCCCACCCTTCCAGCCTCTCCAGGTCTCCCTGCAGAGTGGCTCTTCATTCTGAAGTGTCCGCTTCCCCAGGCGGTTTGTATCATCGTCAAACTTCACGAGGGTACACTCGATCCCATCACCCAGATCACTTACGAAGACACTAAACAGTGTTGGGCCCAATATCGCTCCCCGGGGGACCCCACTTGGGACAGGGTGCCAGGCTGAAAAGGAGCTATTTCCCCCCCACCTCTGGGTGCAGCCTGGCAGCCGGTTCCCCCCCCACTGACCACTCGTCTAGGCCGTCACGTACCAGTTTCTCTAGCAGGAGGCTGCGGGGAACTGTGCTGAAAGCCCTGGAGAAATCCAGGCAGGCAATGCCCACTGCTCGCCCCGCCTCAACCGAGCAGGTTCCTTCGTCGTAGGAGGTGACTGGGTTTGTCCAGCACCATTTGCCCTGGGTGTATCCATGCCGGATTTTCCCAATCACGTGCTTCATTTGACTTGTGAGAGCCCCCAGGGGATTTCATTCCATAACTTTCCCACGGGCTAAAGTAAGGCTGAGGGGCCTGTCATTTCCTGGATCCTCCTTTAAGCCCTTCCCATGGATGAGGGTGACATTAGCCTTCTTCCAGCCTTCTAGGATGTCCCCTGATCTCCACAACTTCTCAAAGATTATGGAGAGCGGCCTCGCAACCACATCAGCCAGCTCTTTTAACACCTGTGGGTGGATATTGTCAGGGCCCATTGATTTGTAGGGGTCAAGCTCCTGTAATAATTCACATACCAAATCTTCTTTCACAAATGATGGGTCTATGTTTGCATCAACCTGGATTTTTGTTCCCAAGGCCTCAGAACCAACAGTGCTGGTAAAGACGGAGTTGAAATTGTTGAGAACCTGTGCCTTTTCAGTGTTGTTGGTGACTAATTCACCTCCCCTGTTTAACAGTGGGCCAGCAGCATAAGCATTCAACATACAGCCACTGCCCAAGGAGTCAGACATTGGCTGACACTACGCAGGGAAAGAAGAACAGAAATACAGGACCATGGTTGCCAAGATTTAGAGAAGTTCACTACTGAACCTGCAATGAGATTGCTACTGCCACTGCCCTACAGACAGCTGAACCACATCACAGCAAGTATGCAGTGTCTGTCATTGAAAATGCTGAGGTTAAGCCTCCCTGTCCTCCTGAGAAAATTCTTTCTGAACATCCACCTAAATCCCTTGGAGTATAGTGGTCCCATATAGCAGTGGGACAGACTACAAGATGAATTTGGTCGGTAGCTAGCCTGTAAATCTACTGCATAGTTTGGCCCAAACCATATGAGCAAGATGACAGTCACCTCCTGGGCCCAAGAATACCCTGGAAAACAGTGGTAGTTTTTTTAACCATTTGAGACAAAACCTCTAAAGCTTTGTGCTGTAGGATTCCTCATTACAAGTCGGGGTTAACCTGATGAATCCTGTCTGTTACCACACCTAAGTGATTCAGCTGGGCTTGGGAGAGCACTGAAGAAGCCCAGGGAAAAGCTGTGACACGAATCTGCAGAGTTCCCTGGACACCTGCTCTACTCAGAGCTCAAAAGTGAAGACTCCGAACGCGAGTGCTCACAACTGACATAAATTGCGGCTCCCAGTACAAATTTAGAAGTTATTACTTCTATTCGCTATGATAAGTCAATTTGCCCACCTGCAAAACTATCAAAAGCAACTGAATGTGTCGTTAACATCTCAAATTATGTTCGAATCCTTTGGTAAACTGACTGCAATTTGCTGTGGGTAGCTCAGCAATGCTGCTTTTGTGCCCCAACAGTTTTCTAATTGGGTGCATGTATTTACACCTTACATATAGGGAAGAGGATAAATACTGTGGGAGCATGACTTATGGACAGTCACACCATCCAAAAGTGAAGATTAATCACTGGTGAAAAGTGTAAAGCATGATACAGAACATAATTCTATATTCTGAAGGACCAGTCTGGTAACTTCAAAAAACACAACTAATGCTTAAAACTTGCTCAGTGTCAAAATCACAACCTTGAGTCTTCACGCTGTGTAAAGCAAAAGAGTGAGTTACACTTCGACTACCTTAAACTTTTTGGAGGGTAGGGCTTTTTAAAAATAGTTTCTAAAGCTCAGGAGTTACAGCTCCTGATTAAGCACAGTAACTCAAGAAGATAAAACACCATTTCTGTGTGTGAATGGTTAATTATACATTTCACCTAAGCAAGTCAATAGCCTCACAAGGTGCACTACATCAAAAATCAGGTTCTCAACTTCTGAATTCCCTCAGTAAAAATTACACTACAAATAGCCTTCCACCTTACCTGCAGTTCATGGAAAAGGCAAGAAATCCCTCTCTATTCCCTTTGCTGTCTCACACTTCTGCTCTCTGTTGCATCAGGAAATACTTAGAGCAACCTTCCGTAAACAGCACGTGTTTCTGTGTCTGCCCCAGCACTGTGGGGTTGCGTTCCTGAAGTTTTTGCATGTGGGCTGACACCTGGGCTGCTGGGGCAGGGAGCAGCTGTGTGTGTAGGTGGGCAGGGAGGGAATGACAGGAGGGACAGGGAGACAGGAAATTTAGCAACTTTGCTGCCTGCAGATGTCACAATCCCAACTGCGGCTCCCTGCGTCAAGACTGTTTAACAAGTTTTCCTCTCCTGCTGGCTGGCCAAGATGAGGGGGACTGTTTCGCTGGACATTTTGCTTTCTTCCCCTAGTACCACCACTAGCAATAAATTACGCTTCTTACTGGATGAAACAAACTGCTTAGTAATTTCTACTCTGCCTCCAAGTTCTGCCGCTTAAAGTATTTGCTTCGTTTCCAACATCCCAAGGAAAAGATCCTTCGTTATTACTGGACAGACTGTAACTGAGCACACTGGGATTATTTTTAATACTTCATGTGACTTCAGTAAGCAAATTTTTTTCATAGTGCATGCTTAAATGGGACTCGAGCCTCTTCCTCCCTGCAGTTTTAGAAGCTTAAGGCAGGAACATTTTCAGAGGTGCCAGCTGGGCTACACCCATAAGAAAAGGCAGCAGTACACAGAAATGTGAATTGTAAGGATCATTTGCTAATGTAAATTTAGCTGTCCTGCATATCCCTTGTGCTTTATGACATATGCTTAATAATATGACCACATATGTATTAAAGAATGAGGTATGAAGGAAGACAGCCAAGCAGTGTAGGTACTCACAGAATACTACTAAGGGGAATCTTTAATATACTTATCAGTCCCCAACTGCTTAGGGAATTTAGTGTGATGGGTACACTTTGGGTTCTTTGTTAAAAGCTCCCAGAAAACATAGGGATATCCAGATTTGGGTCTGCCCTCCACATTATCAGCAAGTCTCATTGTCAGTAAAATAATCTCTATTGAAAGTAAAGCAGTCAGCGTGGCCCTCAAAATTACTAAAAGCAGCA